GTTTTCCTCTTATTTGACTGATAGGTGTCAGGTTGTGAAACATGGAAGCTCTGTGTCCGGGTCTCTGCCAATTATGCTGAGTCAGGCTTGATTTTTAATAATCTTTTCCTGTTAAATAAATAAATCAAATCAAATCAATTCAGTGTTCCCTCGCCCAGATGCAGGTCACCGTGGCCCCACTCTAAAGCCAGGCCTGGAGGTGGGGTACATTGGCGAGCGCCTGGTGGCCGGGCTTTCACCCATGGAACATGGTCGGGCACAGCCCAAAGAGGAGACATGGGTCCCCCTTCCTATGGGCTCACCACATGTGGGAGGGGCCAAAGGGGTCAGGTGCAATGTGTGCTGGGCAGTGGTCATAGGTGAGGATCTTGGCGGTCCGATCCTTGGCTCCAGAAGCTTGCTCTAGGGACGTGGAATGTCACCTCTCTGGTGTGGAAGGAGCCTGAGCTGGTGTGTGAGGTTGAGAGGTTCCGACTAGATATAGTTGGACTCAGCTCGATGCACCGCTCTGGAACCAGTCTCCTCGAGAGGGGTTGGACACTCTTCCACTCTGGAGTTGCCCATGCTGAGAGGCGCTGAGTAGGAGTGGGCATAGTTATTGCCCCCCATCTTGGTGCCTGTACGTTGGAGTTCACCCCGGTGAACGAGAGGGTAGCCTCCCTCCGCCAATGAGTGGGAGGATAGGTCCTGACTGTTGTTTGTGCTTATGCGCCTAAAAGCAATTAAGATTACCCACCCTTTCTGGAGTCCTTGGYGGGGTTGCTGGAGAGTGCTCATAACAGGGACTCCCTTGTTCTGCTGGGGGACTTCAACGCTCACATGGGCAATGACAGTGAGACCTGGAGAGGTGTGATTGGGAGGAATGCCCCCCACCCTGATTTGAACCCGAGCAGTGTTTTGTTATTGGACTTCTGTGCTCATCATGGATGGTCCATAACGAACACCATGTTCAAACATAAGGGTGTCCATATGTGCTCTTGGCACCAGGACACCCTAGGCCACAGTTCGATGATCGACTTTATTGTCATTTCATCTGATCTGCGGCCGCAGGTTTTGGACACTCGGGTGAAGAGAGGGTCAGGGCTGTCAACTGACCACTACCTCATGTTAAGTTGGCTCCGTTGGTGGGGGAGGATGCCGGTCAGACCTGGCAGACCCAAACGGATAGTGCGGGTCTGCTGGGAACGTCTGTCAGAGTCTCCCGGCAGGCGGAGCTTCAACTCACACCTCCGAGGGAACTTCGAACATGTTCTGGGGGAGGTGGGGGACATTGAGTCCTAGTGGGCAATGTTCCATGCCTCCAATGTCGAGGTGGCTTACCTGAGCTGTTGCTGTAAGGTTGTCTGTGCCTTTTGTGGCGGCAACCCTCGAACCCGTTGGTGAACACTGGCGGTAAGGGATGCCGTCAGGCTGAAGGAGTCCTATTGGGTCTTTTTGGCCTGTGGGACTCCGAAAGCAGCCGATACCTATCGGCAGTCCAAGCGGATTGCAGCTCAGGTGGTCGCTGAGGCAAAAACTCAYGAGTTGGAGGAGTTCGGAGAGGCCATGGAAAAAGACTTTCTTTTGGCTTCGGGGCAATTCTTGACCATCATCCGGTGTTTTGGGTACGGGGGAAGCAGTTTGCCACCAAAACTATTTATGGTGGGGATGGTGCGGTGCTGACCTCAACTCGGGGCATTGTGGGTCGGTGGGCGGAATACTTCCAAGTCCTCCTCAATCCTACCGACATGTTTTCCCATGAGGAAGCAGAGCCTGTGGACCCTGAGTCGGACTCTCCAATCTCTGGTGCTGAGGTGGTTAAAAAGCTCCTCGGTGGCAAGGCGCCGGGGGTGGATGAGATTTGCCTGGAGTTCTTTAAGGCTCTGGATGTTGTGGGGTTGAATGTGGTCCCCCATTTTAAATAGGGGGACCACCACCACGGTCTGCCAATCCAGGGGAACTGTCCCCAATGTCCACGCGATATTGTAGAGTCGCGTCAACCAGGGAGAGCCCAGACACCCTGCAGAGGAAAGTCATTTCAGCCGGTTGTATCTGCAATCTCGTTTTTTCAGTCACTACCCAAAGCTCATGACCATAGATAAATTAAGAGCTTCACCTTTTTGCTCAGCTCCCGCTTCACCACAACAAACTTGTACAGCGCCTGCATCACTGCAGACACAGCACCAATCTGCATGTTGATCTCCCGCTCCATTCTTCCCTCATTCGTGAACAAGACCCCAAGATACTCAAACCCAACCCAGTGGAGGCATTCTACCTTTTTCCGGCTCAAGACCATGGTCTCGGATTTTAAAATCCTTAAGTGGTTTATGGGCAATGTTGTTAGTGATACAAAGGAGCACAGGAAATTGCCCCAGTCATCTGGAAAGCTGAGATCAAACAGCTGTGAACTCAYTCAGGTGGTAGAACGTGTGGATGAAGTTGCTTCCACAGTAAATATGTGTGATAGCAATCAACCAGTGTCTACTCCCATCTGCATGAGAGGACACACTGAGGTGAGGGAGGTCTGAGGGGCTCAGCT